TGCAACAGGACTTGGTATCTCTTTCCGGTTTCTTTACATGTAAATATCTTGCTGTATCTATCAGCAGCCTCATTGATTTTCCAGGTGGAATAAATCCCTCTTCCGAATCGTTGTCTAGGGCCCGCTCCGTAATTGGATTCAATGATGGATTTAGCATTAAACATGCTGGTTCCATGATAGGACACCGGCCACTCACCAGCCACAGAGTGACTCCTCCATCCATTCGTGCCCAACCAGGCATTTCCATCGGGATACTTATCCAGGACTTTCAAAGCAATGCGTTTCCACCCAAAAGGACGGATGTATGGCTCGTTCCCACGTGTATAAGTGGTGTTATCATTTACATTTGTGCAATCGTAGTCAAAATTTGGGTCAAAGAATTTGTCCATATTCACAAATAGCTCCTTGCATGAACCTGTGTTGAGAATGTCCAGTGGGGTTGAGGCTTGGAGTAGGAACCCTGTGAGTTCTTGGTCACCATTTGGCTTTTCCAAATCATTGTAAGCTTTCACAGCAACACCTGTGAAGCTAGACAATGCCTGCAGAAGAACATTGGTGTGCACTAGAGCCATACTCAATGATCAGGAAAGACAAAAAGATGTGAGCGCTCATCAAAGAAACTGTATTTATATACAGACACAAAACAGTGGAATGGGAAAGTGGTTATTTGGAATTCCAGTTTTGCTGATCTTGAAAAAATCCCCTAAGAGGAACGGAAATTTGGTTACGCATACCACAAGTTTTCTTCCCAAGCTTTTCAGGTGTTATCACATTCTTGAAGCTTACATTCACTTTTTTTTTTTCTTCTAGCTTCCTTCTAAACTAGAGATGAACATTCATGAACGACTCAAAAGTATGGAAGACTGTTTCCTCCACGGAATAAAAAAATTTAAAAGGTAATTGAGACATTTTATCTCACAGTTCTGATGTTTTTCTTACAATTTGTCACAGCTCAGTAAAAAGAATCGTGATGCTATTACGAGTTTGAAACTCACAATTCTGAAACAACATTTTGTGAAAAACTCGCAGTTCTGAGAAAAAAAGCAAGAAACATGAGATAAAAAGTTGCAATTACCTTTTTTATTTTTTATTCTGTGGTGGAATGTAAACAGAATGCTGAGAAAAAAAGTCAGAACTGTGCGATATAAACTCAAAATTGTGAGATAAAAAGTCACAAATACCATTATGAATGAAAGACTCGGGAGGTGATAATCATCATTTATTGTATGTATCTCATAATTTATCATTGGCTGCATTGTAATGATTTCCTAATTCAGAACATGCTCAACAATTGTGTTTGATTGTGTATTGAATATATTACATTTGAACTATGATCGAGTTAAAATGCTCAAATGATCGAAATGACAAGATTCAAAGATCCAAAGATCAAGTCAGTAAAATTATCTGATCTTAGCATCACTACTACAAGTAAAGTTAGCTACACACAACACAACTTGAGTAAAGAGTGCTTATATTATGTGTAATCCTTTGTGTAGTGATCATTATAATCACTGTCTGTGTTCTGATTTCAGAAAAAAAAAATTGCTCACCTTCATTTTTTTCCCAAAAATTATGCTGTTGTTTTTGTTTTCTCTAAGTCATGAGTTTTCGTGAGTAATATTTGGACTAATTTTATTGTTCTTTAATGGTGTTTTTGCCAGACTATATTGTTGTATTGAAAGGAGCATAAATGAACATAACAACATATGGGTTTGTATTAATATGACCGTATGACAGTATTTTCATTTTTGTGTGTACTTTTACTTTAATGTCTATATGTTTCTTCCATTTCAGATAGATAATTAATGTTATATGTCTTTGGACACTTCTTTGATTGCTCTGGTCTGATCTTATAGGGCAGAATGCTCCTGTTTGCTTTTGGACACGGTTAAGAAAGATAATAAGTTTAGCTCTGTTGTTTATGAAAGAGATGAAGAATTTGAAGCCAGACAATCTCTTGCACTACCAGAATATCAGCATTACTTTTTAGAGTAAATTCCAAACAATACTTCCTTTTCTGAATTCTTTGTGAAAAGAAGGCCAGGGGCAATCGCACAAAACATTTCTTCATTTACACTTATTCAGCATTACGCACAATTGTTTTCTCTTTGTATAAGAAAAACCGGTGTGATTGTATCACTTTAAGAGTAATTGAAAACAAAAAGAACAAAACGATTGTGAAGGTATGAAAGTGATCACGTGGCTTTGGGTCGTGATTCTCATCCATGGTGAGCAGAATAAATAAATGTAATCAAAGGTCACTGGGTCCAGCAGCTTTACATTCAGCCATCCTACTTAAAACTCTCACACTGTAAATAGTTGTGCATAGTTATTATCAAGTATAGAAGTTAGACATAAATTCTCAATTTCGCTAACAGTTTTATTTACACCAGCACTTCGTATCAATGACGATTTGTTTACTGCTTGCAGACAGTTCCACCTACTGGCCGAAACAAGTACTGTTCAACAGCTAGATACAAATACCAAATAAAAGTGGAATTTTGCGTTCCACTGCTGCTTTTACACACACACACACACACACACACACTGTCTGGGTTGCTATCCTTGTGGAGAGTCTCCATAGGCGTAATGGTTTTATACTGTACAAACCGTATATTATATCGCTCTACACCTAAACCAACCCATCACACAAAACTTTCGGAATGGTTACATTACGTTTCATAAAAAAAACTCATTCTTTTTTATTTATAAGCTTGATTTATACCTGAGTCCCATGAGTCAGAGTGTATTCAGGTGTAGGTCCCCACCGGGATAGAAACACACACACACACACATTACCTGTCAACCCTCCCGTTTTTCCCGGGATTCTCCCATATTTTACCATTCTATCCTGCTATCATCCCGTTTAAATATTTTCCCGTATATCTCCCGTATTTTTAATCTTTCTATTTAAAAATAAATCCCACTGGGCGAATTTTATATGTTTGCTACATTCGCTACCGGTAAAACTCCCGTAATTTGTATGGACCAAACCTCATTATATGAATAATCACAACAAATTCCAAGGTTGTCCAGTTGCCAGATCTTGTACGAAACTCATCTTTCTCACACGATCGACGCATACATATTTCAACCCATTTCTCCCCTCAATTTGGCAACCTACAGACCAGTGATGCTATTGATGTGTGCGCAGGTAGTAGCGGGAAGTTAACAATGATCACTGGTAGAAATGGGAGGAGAAGACTCAGGTGGTGCTCCAGTGAAAAAAAGCTAAGTATATATGTAAACTGAGATATAGCTTACACTTCAAAAGGCTATTTAATTGACTGAATATGAGCGCTGCAAGTTTCAAAAGTCAGGTGCTGCGCTGCTTTGTTTACTGCGGTTACGGGAAACGGCTATATTCCTGGCGAAAAGCGCCACCTGCTGGCAGAGAATGAATTTGCATTTTTCGATTAGCCCTTCTGCGCTTTGTTTCGAGACCAAAGCCAAAAACGACCCTTATTTTTACGCAGAAAACATGCAGTTGTAAATGTGAACTGGTGGATCGACAAGAATATAATGACTTATATAACTCTAAAGATATAGCCTACACTAAGATATATTTATGTTACTAAATGAATATAATTGTTTGATAATAATTGTTAAAATTAATATAAATATAATATAATATAATATAAA